CATGTGCTGAGCTCTGTGTGTGTGCATGTGGTAATGGAAACGTGCACAAGTGAGATTGAAAGGTGTGGTGTCAGATCTTTGACTCATCCGCAGGGAAGGAGGAAGGAACTCATCAGCCTTACCACAGCCTTGCCCAAGGAGCTGTTGTTCCAGCTTATACATGAGGACGCTCGGGCAAGCTCTCTCAGGCTCTGCCTTAGCTCCGGGGGTGATTGTAGGGATACGCAGAGCCCCGTGGAGTCTGGGAAATGAGCAGCTGATTCATGCCTCTGGATACCAGAGCTTTGAAGATCATACAGTACAAACAAGCCTCATGGAAAACTGGAACCTGCTTCATCATTAAGCAGCTGCGCTCTGGTGACCAGACCACCGACACAGAGTCTGGAACCCTCAGCAGAGAGAGCCTGACAGGGAGACTAGCCCTCGAGTTGGGGCTCCTGTCCCCAGCTCCACTGGTCCTCTCCAGCTGGCACCTGGATCCTGTTCCTGGTGTGATCCATGGCAACACAATATTGAGAGGACTGCCTGGGAACATTTCCCCCAGGGTGACACTGGCTCTGGCCCACCTAGTACTTCTGGGGAGATGAAGGCAGCCTGGCACCATCAGAAGAATACAGATTCTCAAATCAGACAGAGCTGGGTGCAGACCTTCGTTCTGCCGCTCAAATCGGTTTCTGCAGCACTGAGTGGCAGGTCGCGCCCGTCCCGTGGAGGTGTTGTGCAGGTCACGTACAGATGTGCGGAGGCTGGGGTCTGGGGCAGAGGACCTGTACTTTGTGAATGATAAATGTAGCGTAGATTTGAGAAACTGGAAAGATAGGGAAGTGGGAAAAAAGTGTTTTGATTTCATCGCCCTATCAGTCGAACACTTCTCACTCCAAGGGCGTCACTGTGGACCCCTGAAGACCCATCTGTTGATTTCAGGCTTTATGTGCCATGGGGCGGTCTCCTTGTGTGGTACTCTTTAAATGAACAGTCTGTTTTTACATGGCTATAATTAATATAATTTTGTCTTCTGGTTTTGAAATTCTGTAATTTCAAAATTACAAATTCTGTAATTTCAGAATTACTAAATTCTGTAACGCTGGAGTTCACATAAAACTAGTTTTGGACATCTAACAAAAGAGCAGTGGTTGAACCAGTGGTAATATATTCAAATAGTAAAAAAATAAGCATCCGTTTAAAAAGATATAAAGGTATATTTGTTAGTACAGACACGTACTCATGATTATATGTAAAATGAGACGATTTTACTTAAAAACCAAGGGCTTCCCAGATCTATCTAGACGTTCACTGCCTCAGCCTCAGCCAGCTTTCAAAGTTTAATGTGCCTCAGAATCACCAAGGCTGCCTGTTAAATGCAGTTTTGAACTTCACCCCTAGAGTTCGATTTAGCAGCTGGGGCTCAGGGGTTGGCATTTTTCCAAGGATCCAGGTGATTCTGATGTGGGCACGACACTCCTCCCATTCCTACCTGTTGAAGCTTTACTTAGTTTTCTGCATTTTGCCGTCAGCTTTTTCCTGAATTCCTAAAGTATTTCCTGACATGTTTTGCCTGCTTTCTTGTGTTTGGATTTTTGTGAATCCTTCTAAATTTTGTAAAGCTTTTCCTGATCTTCTGAGCAAACCCAGCTGGGCACCTGTGTCACGTTCCTGGGATTTGTGGCAAAGTCCAAGTTCCTGAACATAATATAGATACTAAAATATTTGGAATCCAGGTTTCATTTCCTTTGTAGTGAAGAGAAAGAGGCCAAGCATTTCAGAACTGTTCAGCACCTGCTGTTAGCGGGGAATGGGGCGCCTGGTGGCTCAGTGGGCGCTCAGGTCATGGTCTCAGGGTCCTGGGATCGAGGCCCAGACTCTTTGCTCAGCGGGGAGCCTGCTTCCCCCCTCTCTCTGCCTGCTTCGTGGTCTCTCTCTCTCTGTCAAATAAATACATAAAAATCTTTAAAAAGGGAGGGGGGGAATAAGGGTAGCCTTTCCAACCTTGATAGGAAAAAAAAAATCTTGTTTAAATACCCTGACCTTGGCAATCATACTGTGGAAAGTAAACTTTGTCCTTTGTGCATTTACTTTGGTCTAAGCCAGAGATGGCCAGTGTTTGTTGGAAAGGGAGGTTAAAACCCTTCAAGAAGCTTGTCATTCCAGAAGTATTGCGTGAATACCTTCTAGGATTATTGGTTGGTTTTCATTCTCAAAGTTCGTGCCATTGAGGTATTTCAAGGTAAATTTTCTCATCTTGCAGTTCCTTTAGGGGCCATTCATGGTAAAATTGAGTCTGAGTTGCACATAAAGTGCCTCTTTACTTAGGTTTTATTGGTCTCCCTCTTTCCTTAAGCCAATTAGGATTGGATCTCCATGTCAGGTTTTGTTGTCTTAGGTCCTAGCCTTGTGTAACAGGCCAGCTGTTGCAAATCTGTTGTTATACAGTTACAACAATTGTTAAGTATTATGTTCAGATGATACTGAATTTCCCCCCTTGCCTGTGAGGGGACTAAATCATATTCTGTACACATCTGTGATTATTTTAGCCTTAAAAGCATTAATAGCTACAAAAAAAGCATTCTGCAGAAGGAAACCTAAAGAGCCAGGTTTTTTAGCTTGTTCAGAGAAAGTTCTTCCTTGGGGCACCAGGGTGGTTCCGTTGGTTAAGCTTCTGACTCCTGATCTCAGCTCAGGTCATGTCTCAGGGTTGTGAGTTCAAGCCCCGTGGTTTTTGGTGGTGGTGGCGGTGCTTTTTCTTTTAAGATTTTATTTATTTATTTTACAGAGACACAGCAAGAGAGGGAACACAAGCAGGGGGAGTGGGAGAGGGAGAAGCAGGCTTCCTGCTGAGCAGTGAGCCTGACGTGGGGCTAAATCCCAGGACCCTGGGATTAAGCAGATACTTAAGCCACTGAGCCCCTGCAAGTGCCCCTGTTGTTGTTTAAGTAGGCTCCACACCCAGCCTTAAAAACAAAAAACAAACAAAAAAAACTTTGCTCACATGAAAATGTTAACTTCGTAGAATTGAAATTCCAGATGACCTGAGAAATCCTACTGGGGAACAGAAGGTTCTGGATAATGAAATGGTTCTGATGGGAAATCACGGGATGGATTATACTTGTCCACATGGCAGACTTAGAATCATTCTTCCAAACTCTGTTCAGAAGTCATCTGTAAAGCTCTTCATGATCTCCCTGCTTGGAAAGGATGAACCATTTCTTTTATTCTGCATGCGCAACAGTACCTTACATACACTTCTGTGGCCGTGTATGTCACCGTCTAGTGCAATTATATGTTTGCACATTGCTGTTCTCACTAGATCAGAAGCTCCCTGGGTGTGGAGAGTATAACTTATACCTGTGCCGTCTGATCACACGTCTCAGTGGCTGGAAGGAGTCGTACTAACTGGGTGAACATATGAGTGAATGAAGACTCTGCTCTAGTCTGGTCAGATAAACGGCATTTTGTGGGTGTTTCTGAGACATCCTGCGTTTACAAAATTTAAAGCAGCACCCTCTCATGAAACATGTACCCAAAATACTGTTACAATAAATAGAGAGTGAATGGTGAAAAAGACAGGCTGAGTATCTGTTTCTTCCTGGATTTCTCATGGCAACTGAGAGTTCCTCAGCCTGTGGGACCCCTGATTTAAGGGACTGGATCTGAAATTCCAGGGAGACCTGCTCCCCATTAGTGCATCAGCTGCTGTGATATTCCCACCCCCAGGCTCTTGAATTCCACAGAACGCTTGCTATCACAGGTATTTGAATGTATATGCGTATGATAGATTTTGAACATATTCCTCAATTTCTAATTTTAAAGTCTTTGTATTAAGAAAGGCTGATGAGGGGCGCCTGGGTGGCTCAGTGGGTTAAGCCACTGCCTTCGGCTCAGGTCATGATCTAAGGGTCCTGGGATCGAGCCCCGCATCGGGCTCTCTGCTCAGCAGGGAGCCTGCTCCCCACTCTCTACCTGCCTCTCTGCCTACTTGTGATTTCTGTCAAATAAATTAAAAAAAAAAAAAAAAAGAAAGGCTGATGACTAAAAGAGTCGATGTTAGAACTGAAAGGGACCTCTTCATTTTACTGATTAGGAATCCACTCCTCCTGAGAGACGGGCCGTTTTCTTTAGTGGAAGGAGCCCCCGAATTGAAGTCAAATAGGTTATGTCTTGCCTTTGGGGCTCAGATCACAGCCTCTTACTGGCTGTGTGATCACAAGCAGCTTGCTTAAGTGTTTGGAAGATCAGTTTTCTCATTTGTAAGGTTTGGTTGAAAATCCGTCTCTGTGGGTCATGACCAGGGATTACTGAGATAACGTGAACCCGAGTACCGACCGTAATGTCTACACAGAGTGAATCCTCGGTGATCTTGGTCCCTGCCCTTCCTTGCCCGAATCATGCTCCTTGCAGCAGGATTAGGACTTAGAAGTATTCCTTGAGGCATCCTTAGCATGGATTCTGGTTGCGGTTTTCTTGACAGGACTCGCGCACATCAGGGACACTCAAGGAGCCATGTCATACCGGTGTTTGACACCAGACTCCGGATTTGTTACTTTAAAAACCATCTCCCTTCTGAGTTCTGTGTTTTATTCCTTGTTGCTTCTTCGCTTTCTTTGAACTGAGAATTACGGCACCCTCCCGGTCAACCATCAGCTATAACTTAAGTATGTTTAATGGGGTGAATGAGCAAGGTCATTCCTATAAAGCACTAGGAACTCAGAGCCAGGTATTCACGTGTTTTGGAAAAAGCAGACCCATGTGGCCTAATCAGTCTTCAATTTTTAAAAGTTACATTCTGAAATAATAAGTGAAATATCTGTGCTAAATAAGAGGGGTTGGGGCTGGAAGTGAACTAAGCATTTTGAGCGCGAGGGGTTAGTCTCACGCGCTTCGGGCTTCTAGAGACGCGGGTGAGGTGGGAGAAGCAGCAGTTTGTGCTCTCTGCTCGTTCTCCCAGAGTTCGTCTGTCATTTGCAAACACAACTTACTTTGCAACGTCTTTCTTCCCTGTAAAGGCAGAAACCTGTGGGTTCTTGTCGTGGGGCGCTTCCCAAAGGAGCACAGAATTGGGATTCCAGAGTTCAAATACGTGGCCAACATGCACGGAGACGAGGTATGTGTGCGGCTCGAATATCTGAAATGTCACCAGGGACATGTCCCCTCCGGTCTCTCGCACTCCATATAAGTGCTAAGGAAGGAAGCAGTATAATTCGTTCCAAAAATCTGGAAAGGTCTTCCTGTGAGGACTTCTGGGAGAATTTAAGGAATCGGGCCTGGCAGCCACCACAGCCAGTGCCCCCAAACGGTCACCGGAGCTACTCTAGCCTTGCACAGCCAGCTGAGGCCCCGAAACCCGTCCCAAGTTGACAGTCCCCCCTCCCGGTGGGCACCAAGGTGACCCGGCTAAGGAGCTCTGTTATATTTGAACTCAAAACAGTCAGAAGACCCCAGAGAGCTGTCCGAATTCCTCATAGCTGGCTTTTTGAAAGCTTTTGTCACCTTCTCATAGTCTTCTAGTCCATGTTTTCAATATTGAAGTTGGAGCAATCAAACTTAGGTTCTCTTACTCAACAAACGCTCTTTAATTTTATAATAATGTCTCGCCTCTTTTCCAACTTCTCAGAGGTAATCTCTCATTTTGTTTCATTTTGTTTGATGTCATGTTATTTATTTTGTTGTGCACATTACCCCCTTAACCCCTCCTGCTTGGCAGTCATTCCTGTCAGGCCTTTGAGGGCGCATCTCCTGCTCTTACCGCGCTCCCTCGGAGGATTCTGGGAATGTGACAGCTGTGGTATTTTCTGTTCCCAGGACCTTATGGGCCTGGGCAGTCGAGTGGAAGAGAAAGATAGTTCCCAGTCATCACCGCCGAGAAAATTCCCATGGCAATGTGTATAGCACCCTCTAAAACATGCTTACCTTCAAGGAATGTCGACGTAAAGGCGTAGCGCCCTAGGTGCAACCCTTTGACTTGTGAGGACACTGGGGAGTTGGCAAAGGCGGTGGCAGGCTCTCTCCGGTGCTGGCCTTCCTGTCCTGGCTTTGGCCTCCCCAAACCCAGGCTCTGTGCGAGCAGGATCCTCCTCTCAGGACACGCGCTGCCCGGCCTCTCCTGCCGACAGGGGCTGCTCCTCGTAGCGGAAGGAAGATGCAGACGCTCACCTCTAAGGAAGGTGTAGGCTGGGGGGCCTGATTTGTGAGTGGAGGGAGGGTCAGTCCCCACATGACTTTCCTGAGTGCGGCTGGGCTGTGCCTGTCAGACTCGAGTGTGCCCGGTGTTGTGGTAAGACAGCTGTTGGCCACGGAAGGCAGCCCGGACGTGCCCCTCACTGTGTCATCTGTGGATCCAGGCCTGCGGAGTCCAGCTTCAGTATGAGGCCAAGAGCACGCGTTAAGTGCAGGAGTGTATTTGTTGAGTGCCTGGCACTTCGCAGGTTCCAGTGTGCTGCTCAGAGATAATCCTCTGAGCTGAAACTTTGAAGGACAAGCCAGAGTCCTTTCCCTCACTCACCTCCGAGCTGGCTTCTTCCTAACATGCGCCTTCCCAGACTTCTGGCCTCTTGCTGTCCAGGTAGTTGAGGCATCACCATCAAATCGGGGCTGTCGTTCACCCTGAGTCTTTGAGGAATGCTCAGGACTGAGGTCAAGAAGGGGAAAAGTCCTGGTGTGCCTTGGGGCAGGGACCTGAGACCCTGTGATCCCCTGTGTGTCCCAGCTGGTGGCAGTGTCTGGGCTCATGGGCCACTGAGGAACTTATCCGGAACGTGAGATCTTGTACCTTCTGCCCTCCTGGTGCCGCGAGGAGCTAGGGACAGTGATGGCTTCACACAGACGAGTCTGTTGGAGTAGAAGGTCCGACTACCTAGCCACCTTCTGCTCTCAGATCTTTTGGAATCGAAAAAGCATTTTTGAGAACTCACTATAAAAGGCTATACAGCTAACATTTTAGAGTACTGGTTTTCACCTTCGTTAGATGGATACATTGCTATTCCGCTGCAGATTTTGGGTGCTGACCTCAGGACGTATGGATCTTCTAGGAGTCTGTGGGCCTCGTGTGGGGAATCCCCCAGGTGACATATATGCACAGAGTGTGGCCTGGTAGACAGAAGTGATCACACGCTTTTTAAAATGTTTCCCCTCATACCTGGACCCCACCCCACATAGGAATGTGTTTCCCACACTTAGCACATAGCTAGATGGCCGTGAGCGTCAGCCACATTAGGAAGACCCTGTTCCGCTGATCCTACCTGCTATTTTTAACCCCATGGCTTTTTACCTTATGTTCTTATACCTTGTTTCAGAATCCGGTCTTTTTTAAATTAAAAATGATCTGTTGTTATTATAAAATCAATCATGAGCATTCTCAGAAAAAACAAATCACCACCACCACCACCACGACACAACATTGTATATTGACCTTCCAAAAATAAGTAGCTAATTTCTTACTATTTCTCCTTCTAGATGTTTTTGTGTGCATGTGTGCACGTCTATTAAATGAGCTATGCTGATTTGCTATTTGTAACATTTAATTAAGTTAATACTAGCTACCCTTTCAATAAGAATTTATCCTGTCTTTACATTTCTACCCCACTTTCTGGATTCTCCGATGTCCCCCAGATTGTCTACATCAGGATCCAGTCCAGGACCACGCATCACACGTGGCCCATTTGCCTGGATCTTTTACTCTAGCATTTAAGGATCTTTTCATGACTCTAGACTTCATAGAAACCTAATCAGTTGTCTGTCCTGCAGAATGTCCCACATTCTGGATTTTTTGCTTCCTTCCATACAGTATCATTGAAGTTGTGCCTCTAGTCCCTGTTTCCTTCCAAATGGAAGAGAAATGTAAAGGTTTGCTGTATTTAGGTGAAACATTTTTTGGCTAATAAACCCTTAGGAATCGTGAAGATGGATTAATTTGGCTGATGCTAAGGGTTGCAAAAAAGCAAACTTCAGATAGCAAAGTCAACTTAAAATGGCCCCTTTGCAGGCAAGTATTGTTATAAAAGAAGTGATGTTACCCCTCCTCTTGTACAATATTTTTCTTGTCTCCCATCACCCTGTCTTTGGCTCACATCCTTCCAACGACACCAGCTTACCGTGCCTCGTTGGTCAGACTGGCAAGTTACCTTCTCCACCGTGCTTTCCAAGCTCATGATAACACGAGCCAACATTAATGAGCGTGGGCTACACTAAGTGCTTGGTGGGGGATGTGCTTGGTGGTAGGCTGTCTGAGTCCGAGCCCAAGCACTGGGCCTCACCCAGCTATGGTCTGCCTCCTCGACTCTCCTTGCTGCCTTCTGAGTGTCCTGTTTGCACTCTTTATATTTTGACGTGTACATCTATGATCGTTTGGATGGACACATAACAGTGCCCCTCGATGAGAAGAGTTGGTGTCATTCAACATGTAAAAGAGTGACAAGCTCTTACGTAATGCTGGATAGAAATCCTAGTCCCTCTCTGTCCCTTTCTTTTTTGTACTCCCTGCCTCCCCCTCCTTGATAGCTGTGGAGTCAGGCAGGGTAGCTAACAGTGCCCTTTGACAAGCCTTTGCCACCTGGTGTTCATGCTCTTTCCAGAACAACGTGAGAGAAGTGTTTCTGAGTTCTATCTTTCTCATTTTCCTAAGACTAGCAGGTGTTTTTTTCATTTATCTGAGCCCTCTGCGTGCGCACACGGGGACACGTTGCCTTGTAGAAGCCCTGATCCTAGTTTTGACTTGTGCAGGCTCCTAGTCTGCTGCACAGACATAGCTGAAATCTAGTGAGGGTTTCTGCTTGGAAGGGGTGATGCCAGCACACACTGAATGAGGCTCCCTACCATCCCCTCCCCGCACCAATCCTGACACTGTTTGAGAATGGGGTCTTTGTCTCCCTTGCCCTCCTTCTGCTCCTGGCTGGCTTTGTCGTAAGCTATAACCAGTCATCTACCAGGCTCCGAAACTGGAACATCTAATACCTTCAGCCTCGATGTGGGCAGGGGAGAAGCCTGGGAAAATCCGCTCCTTTTTCCTTCCTCAAGGCCTCCTCACACTGTCTGTGCCTGTCTCCTACCCCATGGTTTTTAAACTTTGTAGAAAAAGAAAATCTTGGCTAATCTCTAGGTTACTAAGACATCTCTAATTGCTCTCTAATGGAAATACTGAAGTGAGGCATGACTAAGTGCTGAGAAAGTTGACTGCCTGTAGTTTCAGCTAATCTAGTACTAGGCAAAGTAGAGGTCACAGGCTGGGTTCACAAAGTTCCCCTGACCTCAGGGCCGAGGTCTTAAATAGTATGGGGAGTAGGTTTTCAATATGTGCTTGTTATGCTTAACTGAATTGCCAATCTGGATTCTTTTCTTCCCCCCCAAGCTCCAATTTCTCAAACATCATTAAATTACTTTTATTATGATGGGTTATTTGGGTTGACCTTTTTTTTTTTTTTTTTAAGATTTTACTTGTTTGTCAGAGAGAGAGAGATCACGCGTGAGAGAGAGCACGTACAAGCAGGGAGAGCAGCAGGCAGAGGGAGAAGCAGGCTCCCCTCTGAGCAAGGAACCCGAAGTGGGACTCGATGCCAGGACCCTAGGATCATGACCTGAGCTGAAGGCAGACGCTTAACCCACTGAGCCACCCAGGCGTCCCTAGGGTAGACTTTTGAAGTATCCACATCACACTTAGAATTTCAGATTTGGGTGGCATTAATGTATAGTTCGTTGTGTTCTAAATATATAAATTGAAAGCAAAAACATTCCCTGGATAATAGTGACCATATTTTTCAACCTAAAAATAAAGGATAATGGGTAATTATTTTCACACACCTTCTTAGGCATATAAGAGAATTTATGAGATGTAGTTTGTATGCTTAGATGTCTGTATTTAGAGGGTATTTTAATGGTTTATATGAACACTAAGACATAGTATCTGAATTTTGCCTGTGTTGGAAAATCTGAGATGTGTAGTCAACATTCAGTACAGGTTCCAAATGTACTAAAAAACAAAACAAAAAAAAAAATTAAAGCTTATCCTTCCAGATGCCATTTGCCAAGTTCTTTTTCCTACCATTATACAAGATGATAGCAAAATGTCCTCAGTCATGTAGTGTGGCTTTAAAGCATTATTTTTTTCCTTTTGGAGGTAGAATTAATCTTTATTTCAGAAGAGGTATCTGATTCTTTTTAAACATGTATTATTTCTCCTGTAATTGTGCTTTTTCTCTTCATCTTCACGCTTTCTCTTCATCTCCACTTTTGGTAAAGGCTGGGCTAGGGTGACCAGATATCCTGAGTCCTTGGCCCTGGAAAAACGGTTCAATGTTGAAAATGGTTCAAAGGAAATAACTTGATCATTTGTACATCTGCCCTCATTAAGCAGCTTAAGTCCTCTTGTTTTCAGAAATTTCTTCCTTTTTTTTTTTAAAGTTTTTTTTTTTTTTAAGATTTTATTTATTTATTTGACAGAGATCACAAGTAGGTAGAGAGGGAGGCAGAGAGAGATAGGAGGAAGCAGGCTTTCCACTGAGCAGAGAACCTGATGCAAGGCTCGATCCCATGACTCTGGGATCAGGACCTGAGCCGAAAGCAGAGGCTTTAACCCACTGAGCCACCCAGGTGCCCGTTTTTTTTAAGATTTTATTTATTTATTTGACAGAGAGAGATCACAAGTAGGCAGAGAGGCAGGCAGAGAGAAGGGGGAAGCAGGCTCCCTGCTGAGCAGAGAGCCCGATGTGGGGCTCAATACCAGGACCCTGAGACCATGACCTGAGCCAAAGGCAGAGACTTAACCCACTGAGCCACCCAGGTGCCCCAAATTTCTTCCTTAGAATAGTCTTGACCTTGTGATGGATTTGTCAGCAGTAATCAGCAATCATTTATTGAGTACATTATATTCCCAGAGCAGGGCAAGATACCAGCTCTACAGAGAAAGCCTATTAGGATCCCTGCCCTCTAGGCTTAGAAGATGGAGTGGGGGTTGGAGTGGTCAGTCAAGGTCAGTCAGAGTTAGTCAGGCCATTATAATTTTTGTGGGTGGTATTAGGAGAAACACAAGCGTGCAGAGTTCTGGGGCCACATGTGCAGATCATGAATCCAGACTTTGGGAACCCAGGGAAAAGTCTGCTAGATAATGTAATATTTAGGCTGATATTTGAAGAAGGATTTAACGAGGCAATCAGACATATGAATTAAATCGATAACCATTTGGGGAGTCCCAGAGCGCATAGGCTTTTTTTTTTCACTGAGAGGCTGCATTATAGTGTAGCATTTTTAGAAACAGATTCCATCATTGGAATAGCTGGCTTTTTTTTTCTCTCTCTCTCAAAGTTACCTAGATTGTAGACTCTTCAAAAATTTTTTTTCACGTTAAAAAACATTCTTCGAAGAGCTAGAACACTCATTTTTATCTCTTTAGCAAATTCCGCCTTGAATATAAACTCAAACTGATGGAGAATTTATTTTCTGCTTTCTGGGTTTTGCCATTTTAACTGGCGGATTTTAACTGGAGCCTTTCGGTGAAAGGCTGGTGCGTTCATTCAGCCTTTCAGTCTCTTCATGAGGGATTCTCATATAAAGTCTACACCCTCACAGAGAGGAAGTGAGTGCTAAATGGAAAGCTGATTAAGCTATTGGGATTGGTTTGACCGTGTTCTTTTTTTAAAATCTGGATTCTCTAAGGTTTCAGATTCAAAGACTTAATTTTAAAGAAGGGAGGTTTATGCATAAAACATGAATGAGTGCTTGAAACTTTTATATTAAGGTTGGGAAGAATTAATTTGAATAATATTTGGCATAAATCTGCTGTTAGGAAGGCAGCAAAATATAGCCCAACAGAAAGAGAGGGCTTTAACTCCCTGAAATTTTAGCTGTTTAACTTCAGCATTTTTTAAGTTACTGGACTCTTTACTGGTTCTTTACCGTATTTCCAAGGTTTTTTTTACTTACCCTCTGTAGTTAAGGACTTAGTGATTTGTTTTGGAATGTGGAGACAAAACAGAATATACTTCAGCTTTACATTTGTTTACTTGAAAGAATCATGATTTTATTGGTTTTGTAAAAATAATAAAGGTTTTCTTTAAAAAGTGATGCCAGAAAAGTAAAAGGAGTAAAAATCATTCAGAATACTATCACTCAGAAATAACCATCATTAATATTTGCCAGACATCATTCTAGAAATCTGTGGATTTTCTGTAGTAAGAGAATGAGAAGGATTAAAAGGATATAAAATAAAATGGGTGTCATATTCTATGTTACCCTTTAAATAAGTATGAGATTTCATTTTACTTATGATAAAACCAAAGTGAAACTCAAGTAACCAATGAACTTGATAAATATTTTCTCAAGGAAGTATCAGAAGATTCTTCCAAAGTCAAGAAAAAAATGAGGGAAAATTTGGAAATTGTAATCATTGAAAATACATAGTTTTTAGCTGTTAATAGAATCTTCTACTTCTAAGCCCTTGATAGGAACACTGATCTCCCCGAGCCCCTGCCCTCTGTTAATGATAAACATTAACTTTTCCATTCTGCTCTGGGCCTCAGTCTCGTTCTGTGGCCTACCTGTAGCTCCTCAACTCCTTTTTGTTCTCATTTCCTTTGAGGCGAATGTCTTGGCCAGCTTCCGTCTTGAGTTGTGGCGCGCTTGCGATTGTTCAGTTGAGAAAGTTGAGGGAAAGTCACATCTTGAGCCACATGGGGACTCTGACATGGCTCCTCTGTCCTCGCCTGGGCACTCAGATGGGCCTCGGGTTCGTCCTGATTTGTCCCTCTAACTGAACCGACCATCTGACAGGCACGACTGACGTTTAGAAATTTCAGGAGCTACAAGTGACTCCTGGTCACGGCCTCCTCCCTTTCTCTAACCTTCTCCTCTTCACCCACCCCTGAGCAGAACACTCCTTAAATTGCCACACTTTCCACATGTACACCAACTTTCCACATGTACACCAACTTTTCACATGGAAACCCGCTTTTCACAGACGAGACTCACCAAGGCCCTTCCACTGGCCAGCACGTAGCTCATGAGGTTGCTTCCAGGGTGCTTGAGCTCCTAAAACAGACAACTGGAAACCTAGTGTGTGGCTTACTTGACTTCTCTGGTTATTAGTTTGTAAGGACTTTTTCAAGCTGACAGTTTTTTGTGGGTTTGTTTGTTTGTTTTTCAAGATTTTCTTTATTTGAGAGACAGAGTGAGCAAGGGCAGAGGCAGAAGGGAGAAGCATTTGTAAGGCTGATCACAGGATTGTGACCTGAGTTGAAGGCAGATGCTTAACCCACTGAGCCACCTGGGTGCCCCATAAGCTGACAATTTTGACTATAAAAACAAAAATCAAGGTAGTAGAAGAAGATAGAAATAAGTAGGAAAAAAGTGAAGTCAGAATTGAATATATTTCCACTCTGAAATTGATGCTACCTGTGAATATGTAATTTACATCTTCCAAATCTCCTGAGTCCCGATTTCAAGTATTCCATGTTCATTAGGATAACAAAGTCATAAAATGTGGTTTCTCTCCTTGTCAGTGGGGGGACTAGAGGGAGTAATGACCGTTCGAGGATTTCTCATCCATTGCACCGCAGTGAGTTCATACGGTTGGAGTTGTAACTGGAAACTCCTGTCCTGCTCATTGCCTCCATGAGTGCTTCTAGAGCCAGCCCCTAATCACCACGCCCCCACATTTCCCGGGGACTAACCCTCAGCAGCAGCTGATCCTAGGTAAGAGGCCAGCATTCCTTTCTCAGAAGCAGATTCCTTGAGCCCAGGATTATAGAGACATGTTGATCAAGTCCAGTCAAATCTTTCTATAATGAGGCTGATGTGAGGATGACTTTTTAAAATAATAATAAAATAGTCCTCACCATTGGGAATTATAAAACGAGATCTCCTGTAGGTCTCTAGTTTCCCAGTCACTGGTGCTACATAAGATAATCAGGTGGATATGACCATTCTTATTTTCATAATCCTGCTTTTTTTTTTAAGATGTTATTTATTTATTTGACAGAGATCACAAGTAGGCAGAGAGAGAGGAAGAGAAGCAGGCCCCCTGCTGAGCAGAGAGCCCTATGCGATGCGGGGATGCAGGGCTCCATCTCAGGACCCTGGTATAATGACCTGAGCGGAAGGCATAGGCCTTAACCCACTGAGCCCCCCGGGTGCCCCTCATAGTCCTGCTTTTTAACAGTGTACTTCAGAAACCTATCTAGCAAAATGGTAACGACACAAAGGTTTTTCATTTCTTCTGTAAGCAAAAAGTCAGTTTAAAGAAAATATAAACGAAGCAGTAGTATAGAAAATAACGGCAAAAAAAAAATTATGAGGATGATGTGCGAATGACTCTAGTTTCGGTAACAAGAATGTGGCCATCAGAAATATGCAGATACGTCGAACATTGCACAAGTGTTCAAGAGGGGAGTTTGGAAATAGGGGGATATTAAAGTCTGAAACCTACTTAAGTTATGCTTGTTACAAACCTGAATTCTTCCCTATTAAAATCTACATCAGTCTACCGTGTCTGATGCAGTGGTTGTCACCCTGCTGTTGGCCGAGACACACTGCGGCGTGTGTCTGCACCGCCCTCCTGAATGCCGCCTCTGCCCTTCCACTCCAGGAAGTGTTTTGGAAGGGAAACAAATTGGAAACATAATAAGCGTAACCTTTATCCCACCTAATTCATTTTGTAAAAAGTAAATTCTTTACAGACAGGTATGTTTTTAAAAAAAAAATTTTTTTTTTTAATTTTTGCCCAACAATTTTCAGCACCCCTGTGACTAATTGCCACTTGCAGAGCCACCACGTGGTATCACATTTGGTTTCAAACACCAAACTAGTAGAATCCCTCATTGGGGAATTTGGGCTTTAGGGACTATTTTCCTCTGACCTAATACTATCCCATTTTGTCTTTAACACATACAGACTGTGGGGCGGGAGCTGCTACTCCATTTAATTGAACATCTTATAACCAACGATGGAAAAGACTTGGAAATCACAAATTTAATCAACAGCACCCGGATACACTTCATGCCTTCCATGAACCCAGATGGCTTTGAAGCGGTCATAAAGCCTGACTGTTTTTACAGTAATGGAAGGTAAGGATGGGCTGGTCTATTTAGAACAACAAGGCCCCCGCCAGACAGCACCCCATGGCCTCGACAGTGAACCAGCTCGGCCTGGGTCATGTCCTTGCCATGCTGAAAATGCTTCAGGCTGCCACTGCTTTGAAGATGAAAAGTAAAATCCCCAAGAAGACGCTGTACTCCTGGGCCCACCCTGCTGCTCGCCCTCGCTCACCACTCCCCAGCCGCTTGGAGTCTCTTCATCTCCTGGACCGACCTGTTTCTTTCTCGTCTCAGGCGCTAGGCAGACCTCATTTCCCACTCCTCACGCCTCTCACTGCTAAACAGTGTTTGCTCAAAGACTCCCTCCCTGACCTGTCCTATATTGGGCCCTTGGTTCATAGCACCTGCCACTTCATCCTCGTAGCACAAATTTTAAGGTCTGATTTCTTGTTCAATATCTCTCTCCACACGAATCTGTAAGCTACCCGGGGGCAGGAATTCTGTCGCTCCTGTTGCTCCCTGTGAAATCTCCAGCGCCTAGCTAGGCCCTCAGTAATTACCAGTTGGTTTATTAAGTCAGCACAAGAACTAACTGAAAAAGGAGGAGGGAATCAGGGCGCCTGGCTGGCTCATTCCGTTAAGTGTCTGACTCGATTTTGGCTCAGGTCATGATCTCGGGGTTGTGAGATCAAGCTCTGCGAACTCTCTGTTGGGCTCCGTGCTCAGTGGGGAGTCTGCTTCTCTCTCTCTCTCTGTCCTTCCCCCCTGTTTATGCTCGCTCTCTCTCTAAAATAAATAAATAAGTCTTTAAAAAAAGAACAGGGAGTCTTATAATATTTCTGATTTAAACAGTTTATTTTGTTGCAATCTGCCTCAGGAAGTTTACAAGTTCTCAAATGTCTAGTATACATTTATATTTGTCCAAACATTTGTTTGCTTTTATAAAAAATATAAAATCTCACCACTTGATTCCCTTCAACTTTAGGTTTTTCTAGTGTATTTAAACATGGCCAGCCCATTTTCCAGAAATACATTTGTATAAAGTAGCATGTTTCTGTCACCAGTTGCCATGCAACAAAACATCCCTAAATTGAAGGAATTAAATCCTTTTTATTTACTCTCAATTCTGTAACTTAGGAATTTAGACAAGCCAGAGCAAGGCTGGCCAATCTCTGTACCATCCTGTCTGGAGCCTCAGCTGGGTCCTGGCACATGGCTGGAGTCTCAATTCTGGCTGTCACCTGGGTTCCTCATTTCCCCAGGCAGACTCTCCACGGGACTAGCCCAGAGGCTCAGGCTTCCCAAAGAGAGTGTTCCAAGAGCAAAAGCCCCAAAATGCAAACACTTATCATAGCCCTGCTTACCGCACAGCAGCTACTCTCCCACTGGCGAAAGCAGGTCACACAGGGGCTGCAGAGTGCGTGAATGCCAAGTGTGGCCCACCCGAGGCTCCTGGGACAGTGTCCACCTTCCCTGTGTTCACATCTGGAAGAACACTTGGGGCACAAACCAAAGTGATAACACGTGGCACGAATCCACTCCCTCACATACCATCAGGAAACCCTAAAATATTCTTTCTTTTAAAGGGAAAATACTAACTTCTATGACCTGAACAGAAATTTCCCCGATGCTTTTGAATTTAACAATGTATCAAGGCAGCCTGAAACTGTGGCCATCATGGAGTGGCTGAAGACAGAGACGTTTGTCCTCTCTGCAAACCTCCACGGCGGTGCCCTGGTGGCCAGCTACCCGTTTGACAATGGTGTTCCAGGTGAGCAAACAATGACTGGCCTGGCCTCCTGAGTTCCAAATGGGGCTGCAAAGCTGACCTCTGGAGGGGAGGAGTGTGCCTTCTTGTCTTCGCTGCCAGGGGTGGCGTTTGCTCACCTCTGAGCCACCTGTCCGCAGGTGGGCAGTGTGGCTGACCTGACGACCCACAGGGTTACTGGAGGGTCACCGGGAAGATAGTAAAATTGGGTTGGAATACCCCACATAGGCAAACGGCCTGAAACAAAATAAAACCAGAACGTACCCTTCTTTGCTAATCCTAGGAGCAGTCATTTGACTCCTTTTAAAACTCTGGGATGAGGACTTAAAATGAGAGCAGTGCCTTTATTTAACCCCACAGTATGCAAGGAGAGTTCACCAGCCTTGAGAAATTAGCGAGAGTGACTGAGAGGATATCTAACTTGGAAGCTGATACAGGAGGAGTTGGAATACGCATCTGGTTTACTTTGTGTGGTACCACTCTGTGTTCGTGACAAACGAGGAGCACTCATGGGAGTGGGTGGAGGGCCCTCGGGGAAAGCAGGGTTTCTGCAGGTGAAGCGATGGCGTGTTTGCTGACACAGCGCCCCATGCGTTTCCAAGTGCTCGTACTCTGACACCAACAGAAAGGTCTTGCTTTGTCTTTCACACACAGCGACAGGGACATCACACTCCCGTAGCTTAACCCCTGATGACGATGTTTTCCAATACCTTGCACATACCTACGCTTCTAGAAATCCCACCATGAAGAAAGGAGACCAGTGTAAAAACAAAATGAACTTTCCTAATGGAATCACAAATGGCTACTCTTGGTATCCACTCAAAGGTAAGTTTCTCTTCCCTTCTAGCATTCTCCTTCTTGCCTTCCTCCAGAGATGCCAGCTGGCTTTTGTTGACCCCAGCAGTTGTCAAAGTTTGTTGCGCATGATGCTGTCCCTTCTGTCATGTCTCTGTCAGCTAATGTCCCAGAAGCAGGGGGATGGGGGGGGTGACTGCCCAAGAGCTGCTCAGATACTTGCTCAGTGTTTACCTATGTGAGCCGGGAACTACGCCAGGAAGGTTGCCAGGACGCAGCCCCTACCCTCTGGCTTAATAGGAAAGAGCAACGTGCACCTAAGTAATTGTGGTGGCAGTGTAATTAGAATAAAAAGGAGAGATTTAGAAAAGGTACAGCGTGCCACAGAGGTGGAAGGCCAGGATACAATCGGGAGTAGAGAAGACCCTGGAGAAGTGTAATGCTATGTCACATCAACCAGGGGCAGCTGCTAATCCAGCTACTATGGCCACGCACCAGTGGGATCCAAATATTGCCAGGCCGTCCGGTTTATAAAATAAGCTGAACTTGTACATGAGGTATCGTGTTTTTTTTTTTTTTTTTAAAGATTTTTTTATTTATTTGTCAGAGAGAGAGAGGGAGAGAGAGCGAGTGCAGGCAGACAGAATGGCAGGCAGAGGCAGAGGGAGAAGCAGGCTCCCTGCTGAGCAAGGAGCCCGATGCGGGACTCGATCCCAGGACGCTGGGATCATGACCTGAGCCAAAGGCAGCTGCTTAACCAACTGAGCCACCCAGGCGTCCCGGTATCATGATTTTTAAAGCCACTTTGCAAACTGAACAAAAATGCTTCTCCAGCTGGATACGAGGTGGGCTGGGGGGCCTCCAGTTTTCTGCCTGGCCCAGGAGGGAGGGAATAGGGAGACTGCCATGTAGGGATCACGGGATGAGGGCCGGGGAGGAGGATGTTCTTGTGAAAAGAATTGTGTAAGCGAGCCCAGGGGTGTAGGAGAACTGGGGCTAGTTGGGGGCCTGGGAGAGGGCAGGCGGGGACCAGGTCTCGTGGCTATGGCCGCAGTGGAAGGTGCCCCCTTAGAGACTGGGTCAGCGGACCCTGTCTGAAGCACACTGTGGGCTGCGTCCCGGCGCACAGACCCCTTTCCTGGTGTCACTGTAGCAGAGACCTCCGTGTAAGCAGTGGGGCCAGTGAGACCCTGCAGCAGCCCATGCTTCTCCCTGCTGTCCCCGACACGGCTCCTGCCACAGGCCTGGTGCCTGCTCCTTACTCTTCACAGGCAGCAGAGGGCTCCCTCCCACCCGGGGGGGCAGAGCCGTAGAGCCGTCCCTTGGGGTCAGTCTGCAACCCTTGGGGCAGCTCCAGAGGTTTGGGAAATGAGCCAGGAACCTAACATTGCTGTCCAGGAACCTAATGTTGCTGTCGGGAACTGTTCCCAAGTGGACCTGGGTGGACACGATGTATCTGGAGAAGAAAAGCAGGCAGAGCCAGCCACTGTGAGGAGCTTAGAGCATTCCAGCTTGGTCTGGAGGTTTTGTACCCCAGGCCTGACCCCCTTTATCCAGAGCCGTGCACACTCCACGCTTAGCAGCCCCACCCCTGCGCGCTTTGGACACCTGTTCCGCCGTTTATGTTCTTTCTACCTGAGAAGCATCCAACCAAGGACTTCAGTTTTCTTTTCTTTCTTCCTTTTCTCTCTTATTTCTTGGTGAAAACAAGGTCAGAAATACAAAACTTAGAAGGTAAGTAAATACAAAGGACAGGAATTCTTCCTGCTAGAATTTAGACCTACATAGATATTACTTAATATAAAATTTTGATATAATATTTTGACTATTTTCTTAACATGAGGTTGTTTTCCCCAACTCACTACTTCCTGATGGAATTGAGAATACATATTTTATTAGGCAGATAATCAAGTTTAATAAGTTAAAATCTGGCAGAAAGTAACTTCCTTCAAAGTTACCGTATTTCATCAAATCCAAGATGCCACAGATTATAAAATATACTTTCCAAGGAAGGAAAGAAAATGTTTCTGGACAGTCTAATGACAATGGTGTTTTTCAGTCATCAAGTTTAAGATCGATAATTCAGATTTTAAAATATAAAAAGTTTTGCATCTGGGAAATATGAAATAAGATTATAACCCTCTGAAAATAGGGTCTCCAGAAGTGAGAACTGGGAGGCGGGCATGGGTCTCTTCTCTCCTGGGAGCCGGCTGGGCCCCCTTCCTTTTATCCCCGAAGCAGCTCCGTGTCATGGGCCGGAGCACAGGGCCTTGAGCATGATGGCCTATGCTGGGCTCTACACTCACTGGCATGTCACTCACCCTCAGGGACTGTCTCCTCGTCTATAAGACATGGGGAGTCACTGCCATGACAAACTCTTCAGATGGTACCCAGTCCTAGTGAACGATCACTAAATGTTAGCCATTATTCTCCAGATGAGTGTACTTAGCTTACCTAGTGTATTTATGAATGGTTTGTGAATAATTTTTAAAAAGTATCATTCTATGTGTGTTTCAGAATGTAATTTACGAAGAAATGTATGCTGATGAATCCTTTTTGTATTGTGTGATCGACAAAAAAGGAATGACCCTCCCCCTCCCCCTCTGTGGGTACATGGTTGAACCTGGGTCCGCTCTGATCTAGTAACCCATATGGGAGTATTTAGGATTGCCTGTTCGTGCCTGGCTAATAAAATGTCAAGTTCGCATGAGTTTACATGCGAATATGTCAGATTCATCTTTTCCTGTTCACATGTACTTTCCTTGGAACTGTCTGATTCACTTGTCCCCAAGGTACAGGATACTTGACTGCATTCCAATTTTAGACCTTAAAAAATTAAATATGTTTGTGTTTAGGTGGAATGCAAGATTACAACTACGTCTGGGCCCAGTGTTTTGAAATTACATTGGAGCTGTCATGCTGTAAATATCCTCATGAGGAGAAGCTTCCATTCTTCTGGAATAAAAACAAGGCCTCACTGATTGAATATATAAAACAGGTGCACCTAGGTTTGTAAGATTTTTTTTATTAATTCCTTTTAACACGAGACATAGCATCTGGCAAAACCTTTGGGTTGAGGAAATGCAAGCCCCTATTTGTTTTCCTGGTATAGCCTCATTTGAGTACCAGAACTAATGATTAAGAATGTTCTCTGCAGGAATATCTATAGCGCGTGAGAAATGCAATGCCCGTCAGCTCATAGAAGAGAGCATGATGTGTGGCTTTTAATATGGGGGTGAAAAATCCAGAGTACTTCAAATTTTTTCACATTGAATGACCAGGAAATCTCGCAAAAGATTGAGGAAAACAGGTTATTACTCTGTTATGTCATCACCCATCTAGAAAATGCCCAGTTTGCCTGTCACTTGTCACACAGTATCGCAGATCCAGAGAACACTAGACGTGCCATTTTGCCTTCTTCTAGTACCGGGGTGCTGACTGCACACCATTAGCTTCAAAGCGCTCACACACTGCAACTGCCCAATGACCCACCTGGTGCTGGCCATCTTCCCAGCCTGGTCCTTTGACAGCTGTCTAGCTTTTATCATAGGGGGACAGACCAACCGGGGCAAGAGTGGTAGTTCTCAACCCTGTACAGCAGACTCCCTTGAGGGTTTGTGAAAACGCAGACTGCCAGGCCCAGCCCTGGAGTTTGATTTAGTGCGTCTTGAATGGCGCATCTTTCCCAAGGACATGCTGGTGCTGTGGGTCCGGGGACCACACTTTGGAAACCACTCACCAGAAAAACACGGTGCCTGTGATGGTGGTAGAGTCGTAGGGTTTGAGCTTCTTTAGTCAGGCTGCATCTCTGAATGGCCAGGGTGCAAGTGCTTTCATTCCGTTCAGAATGGCTTCAGAGATCGGCATAGTAGTTAGGCCACTATGCAGGGCTAAAGTGGGTGTGGGTTTGTGTCGAGGAGAGTTGCATAACCACACAACTCCTAGAACTGTCTGCATGCTTCACCGCAAAGCTTTCTACCTGCTGGAGAGATGGAGGGAAGAGTCAGAAGCACACGGGGTCCAGGGCTGAGTGCAAGGATAATTAAGAACGTCCCTTGGCCCATACATGCCCCACCCTCCTTTTCTCTCCCCAACCTCCAGCACCCCCACAGCACAGGTACACAAAGATTATTGGTGAATTCAGAGGGGTGAGACATGTATGAAGTAGGCTGATACCCTGTGATAAGGGATGTTAAAAAGTAATTTTTCATCAACATCCTCTTAGCATTTATTAAGATTACTGGGTCCTCTCTTGATCAATATTCTGGTATTTTGCTACTGGATTTTCATCATGAGCACATAGTAATTTAGCCTTTCTATTATATTTCCTTATTTGGTGTTCCTCTGCCTATTCTAAAATTTCTCCTTTATCAACATCGACGTGGGAGTGCAGCTGAACAAAAAATATGCTCCACATAACCTCACTAGTCTTTCTGGAATTTTAGTCTAGCTGTAAGTGTTATTTTCCAAGCGCTGAATTAAGGTGGGCTCTGAAGTATTGTGGTGACATAATAATGCCAATGAAGGAGCTTTGTAAACGGTGAAATAACAATGCACGTTGTAGCGTGACTATCATTAATTTGGAGAGCTTACAAGTCCATTTACACGAGGTTTTATAAATATTTATCTGCCTGTCCCTGTAACCAAGTGTGCACAATCTACTTAAAAATATATAAGCACATCAACCCTGCCCCCTTGTGGTTTAAGATGGAAGGAATGAAGAGTCAAGAATTTAGGAAAGTAAAAGGCAGCTTGGGGTCAACCAGAAGTTTGCTTACTGTTTAAGGCAAAGATTTTGTTGCTGTCAAAACTTTTACATTTTAAACTTTTCTGAAGGAAACTAATATATGTTTCGTGTTTTTCTGCTCCAGTAAATAATTGGTCTGGGGGTAGTTCAGGGTCATTTTTTCCTTGTGGCTTCTTCTCATGTCATTAAGATGATGTGTCACTAAGTGAACACAGTGGAAGGTGAACTGTTAAAACATTTAAAATGTTCTTTTATTAGCTGTACTCCTGAAATTTTGATGTGAGGGGTATGGTGTCAGATTCAGTACGGGCTCTGGAGAGTAGTGTGGATTTACAGCCAGGCTTTGGGAGCTTAAGGTTATTTAATAATCCAAAGCCTTAGTCTCCTCATCTGTGAAAGTGTGATATTGCCTACGTCATAGAATTAATGTGAGGATTCAATAAGAACATGCATGTTAAGCATTTGCCATACAGCCTAAAATACACTAACGATAAATGTTCACTCCTGTTATTAGTAATAAGACACCATTACTCAATTCCATGATTCCAAGCAATCTTGTGATTATAATTGTTTCCCATATAGTTTGACCATGAGACAAAACTACTGAGTCCCACATAGGTAAGTATCTTATTGTAAGTTATTACACTGCCATTTTTTTTGAAGTAATCTCTACAGCCAATGTGGGCCTCAAATTCATGACCCCAAGATTAAGAATCACATACTCCACTGACTGAGCCAGCCAGGCACCACCACCTCCCCAACTTGTAAATACACCGGCAATTTTTAATTTAGGATTTAGCGGAATCTACCAAGGGCAATGTTGTAGTAGTTTGGTGACTGAGTAAGCAACTTGGAAAGGACAGGCATGGATTTAGGTTTTCAGCACAGGTGCTATAAATGGAATATTTGACAACAAACAAATTTAGCCTATAAATCTGATTGTTAGCTTGACTGTATTTTAAGTTACCTCAGAAATAAGTTTACCAAGTTCTGGTTCAAGATGGCAATGTAGGAGGATCCTGAATTCATTTCCTCCCACAGACGCACGGACTCCATAGCTATATATGGGACAGTTTCTTCTGAAAGAAACCCAGAAACTACCTGAGCCATTCCTACAGGCTGGGCGAATGAGAATAAATTTATATTGCAGTGGGTAGGAGAGGCTGAGACACAGTCCTGCTGTATGCACCCCCCTGCTGCAGCAACCACGTGGAAGGAACTCACAGCTCCCAGCAGCAGGTTTGAGCCCCTTTGTGCCAGATTTAAAAGCCACACCCAAACAATCCCTGAAAACACCTAGCTTTGAAAGTCACAGGGCTTGCATCCGCAAGACCCTCAAGACTATAGCGAACTGGGAAATAGTTCTTAAAGGGGCTACAAAGGTGCTCCAGTGCAGAGCCAGCCAACTGAAAGATGCCCAGGGGTTTTCTGTGGAAAAGCCCTGTTTGCTGGTCTTAAAGCTTTGATCTGAGGGGCAGGCATCCAATTTAACACCTCTACGGGTCTACTGAAATACTCTCCAAAGATGGAGGCCGGCAAACACCGTGTTTGCACTCTCCCTCCGTCCAGGTCACCAGTCACTCCCAAAAGGGAGTCTGTGCATGAATCTGGTGCCCCAGTTTTTGGGGTTACTACCCAGGGGATATCTCTCAGTGGCTCTGGTAGCCAGTGTTCATGTGTTCAGTGTTTGTGTTCATGGCTCCAACAGGACACTAGCAAACAGCTCTTAACTGGCTCTCACCCCAGGGCTTGGTGTAAAGGGAATCGGAGGCACATCCATCCCTGTCTTCCCCTAAAAGAGGTTCATCTGCATACTTCAAAAACTTCTGTCTGAGGGTCTGGCGTACAATCTGCTTGACTCTAGGTACTGATAGGTATGGGCACAACCTCAACTACTGGGAACTACTAAACATAGAAACGATCACAAAGGTTTGAGAAACAACTAAGAACTAGCACAGAGTTGAATGAGGAGGTTCGTCTACAAAAGACCACTCCTCCAGGACTGGAAGACCATATTCCAAACAAAAAAACCCAAGATAAAGCCTCAAAAAAGACCTTACTGAAATGGTGATAAGTGACTTAACTGATAAAGAGTTCCAGTAGGGATCCCTGGGTGGCTCAGCTGGTTAAGCTGCTGCCTTCAGCTCGGGTCATGATCCAGGATCCTGGGATCTAGTCCCATATCAGGCTCCTTGCTTAGCAGGGAGCCTGCTTCTCCCTCTGCCCCTGTTCCTGTGCATGCACTCTTTCTCTTTCTCCTTCTCTGTCAAATAAATAAATAAAATCTTAAAAAAAAAAACAAGTTCCAATAAGGACCATAAATATGCTCACTGAACTCAGAATAGTGCATGAATGAAATGAGAATTTCAACAAAGAGGTACTAGAAGACACCACCAAATAGAAGTCACACAGGTGAAGAGTACCAACAGATTCAACATCAGACTAGATGAAGAAAAATCAGTGAACTTGAAGACAGGGCAATGGAACTAATCCAGTCAGAGTAGCAAAAAGAGAAGAAGGAAATAGAGTAGAGATAGTTTAAGGGACTTATGAGACAACATCGAGCATACCAACATCTGCATTACAGGGGTCCCAGAAAGAGAAGAGCGAGAGAAAGGGACAGAAAACTTGTATGAATGGCTGAAGAGTTCCCTAACCTGGGGAAGGAAACAGACCTCCAGATCCAGGATGGCCGGAGAGTTCCCAATAAGATGAACTCAGACCCACACCAAGACATGTTATAATCAAAGCATCAGATGTTAAAGCTAGAAAATCTTAAAAGTGGCAAGAGAAAAACAACTTGTTACATACAAGGGAATCCCATAATATTATCAAAGTTTTTTGTTTTTTGTTTTTTTCCCTCCGTAGAAGCTTTGCAAGCCAGAATGGAGTATCACAATATATTCAAAATACTAAAAGAAAATAACTGCCAACCAAAAATATCTGGCAAAGCTGTCCTTCATAATTGAAGGAGAGAGAAAGGATTTTCTAGACAAGCAAAAGTTAAGGAGTTCATCGCCACTAGACCAGGCTTACAAGAAAGGTTAAGGAAACTTCCTTAGGCTGAAATGAAAAGGTACTAATTAGTAACACAAAAACTCACTGGTAAAGGTAAATCTTTAATAAAATTCAGAACAATCTAATGTTGTAAATGTAGTGACTAATCACTTACAAAACTATTATGAAGGTTAAAAAGACAAAGTAGGAAAAATAACTAAAATAGTTTGTTAATGGATATACAAGGTAATGAGATGTAAAATGTAGGCAGGAGGGAGTAAACATACAAAGGTTTAGAATGCAATCATGTTATTACCAACTTAAAATAGACTGTTACAGTTTTACTTAAGTGTCAAGGTAACCAAAGCTAAAACCTACATGTAAAAAAAGATGAAGGAATCTAAGCATACCACTACAGAAAACCAACAGATTGCAAAGGAATTACAAAACAGCCAGAAAACAATGATCAAAATGGTAATAAGTACATAATTATCAGTAATTGCTTTAAGGACTAAATTTTCCAATCAAGGGGTGCCTGGGTGGCTCAGGCCTTAGGACCCCAGAGTTGGGTCTCTGCCTTAGGTTCAGATCATGATCTCGGGGTTTTGGGATTGACACCCACATTAGGCTCTCTGCTCAGTGGGGAGTCTGCTTCCCCCTCTCTCTCTGCCTGCCTCTCTGCCCTGCCTGCTTGTGATTTCTCTGTCAAATAAAAAAGTCCTTATTTTTTTAAAAGGTATATAGTTTTTTTTTTTTTTAAAGATTTCATTCATTTATTTGACAGAGATCACAAGCAGGCAGAGAGAGAGGAGAAAGCAGGCTTCCCACGGAGCAGAGAACCCGATGTGGGGCTCGATCCCAGGACCCCGGGATCATGACCTGAGCCAAAGGCAGAGCTTTAACCCACTGAGCCACCCAGGTGCCCCTAAAAAAGTCTTTTAAAAAAAATTCTCCAATCAAGAGAGTGACTGGATAGATTAAAAAAAATAAAAAACCATAAGACCCATCTATATATGTTGCCTATAGGAGACTCACCTCAGATATAAGGACACAACAGACTCAAAGTGAAGGGGTGGAAAAGATACTCCATACAAATGGAAACCAAAAGAAAGCTGGGATAGCTATACTTACATCAGACAAAACAGACTTTAAGAAACCAGTAAGAAACAAGGTTATTATAGAATTTTAAAGGAGTCAATCCAACAAAATGATATAACATAGGAGTACTTAACTATATAAAGCAAACATTAACAGACCTAAAGGATAAAATAGACAGCAATATAGTAACAGCAAGGCCTTTAATATCCCACTTTCCATCAATGGATAGGTCATCCAGACAGAAAATGATACTTAACATATACAGAGCATTCCATTCAACAGCATCAGAATACACATTTTCTTTAAGTGCACATGGAACATTCTCTAGAATAAATCATATGTCATGCCACAAAATAAGTCTTAATTTACAAAGACTGGGGTACCTGGGTGGCTCAGTTGTTTAAGCATCTGCCTTTGGCTCAGGTCATGATCCCAGGGTCCTGGGATCGAGCCCCACATCAGGCTCCCTGCTCAGTGGGGAGCACTCTTCCCTCTCCCTCTGCCCTTCTCCCTGCTGGTGCCTTCTTTCACTCTTGCTCTCTTTCAAATAAAATCTTTTTTTTTTTAATATTTTATTTATTTATTTGAGAGAGAGAGAGAGAGGGAGAATGAGAGGGGGAGAAGGTCAGGGGAAGAAGCAGACTCCCCATGGAGCTGGGAGCCCGATATGGGACTCGATCTCAGGACTCCAGGATCATGACCTGAGCCAAAGGCAGTCGCCTAACCAACTGAGCCACCCAGGTGCCCCTCAAATAAAATCTTTTTAAAAAATTTACAAAGACTGAAATCATATCAACTATGTTTTCCAACCCCGGTGGTATAAAATTAGAAATCGATTACTAGAAGAAAACTGGAAAATTCACAAATATTCAGAGATGAAACAGCGTGCCACCACACAACCAGTAGGTCAGAAGAGAAATCAAAATCTTGAAATGAAAATACAACATACCAAAACTTAAGGGATGCAGCAAAAGCAGATCTGAGAAGTTCAGAGAGATAAATGCCTGCATTAAGAAACAGAGATCTTACAGAATTGCTGAATCACTGTATTGTACACCTGAATCTAATATAACACTGTATGTTAACTATACTGGATTTAAAATTTTTTGAAAATCTCAACCTAACTTTACACCTCAACGAACTAAAAAAAGAAAGAAAAAAAGCTCAAAGGAATATGAAGAAACAAAGATCCAAACAGAATTAAATGAAATAGAAACTAAAAAGACAATAGAATAAATCAATAAAACTAAGAGCTGTTTTTTTGAAAAGATAAACCTTTAGCTTAGTTTCACCAAGAAAGAGAGCAAGAACTCAAAATCAGAAATGAAAGAGATGTTGCAACTGTACCCCAGAAATGAAGAGGATCATAAAAGACTAAACAGTTATATACCCCCAAACTGGACAACCTAGATGATAATGAAATCCATAAAAGCAAGTACCTACCAAGACTGAATCAGGAAAAAATAGAAAATTTCAACAGACCCTTTCCTAGTAAGGAGATTTTTGGCATGTTTTTGATTGCTAATTCAAACAAAAACCCAAGACTAGATGGCTTCCTTGGTGAATTCCACCATTTAAAGATGATTTAATACCAGTCCTCAAACTCCTTTTCCAAGGCCAGCATTATTACCCTGGTAGCAAACCCAGTGACACTACAAGAAAATTAGAAGCCAATATCCCTGATGAACATAGATGCAAAAATCCTCCAACAAAGTATTAGCAAACCAGCTTCAGCAACACATTAAAAAGACCTTGATCAAGTGGAATTTATTCCAGGGATGCAAGGAGGGCTTGACATGCGCAAAATCAATCGGCCTGATAAACCACATCAACAAAATGAAAGATAAAAATAATATGATCATCCCAATACATGCAGAAAAAAATTTAACAAAATTTAACATCCATTTATAAAAACAAAACAAAAAATATTGAACTATGTTAACTAGCTATATTGTGATCATTTCACAAATATACATTTATCAAATCATTATGTTGTACATCTGACACTAATGTTTTATGACAATTAGATCTCAATTTTTTGGAAAGGTTTGCCTTAAATACTTATTATCCAAGCAGCTTAATAAATATTGGGTGTGTTTCTCTTAAATAACTACAAGAATATTTTTTCACAGGTCGTAAAATGTAGTGTTAACATTTAATGTTGTTTTTGTCTTGCAGGTGTAAAGGGTCAAGTTTTTGATCAGAATGGAAATCCATTACCCAATGTAATTGTAGAAGTCCAAGACAGAAAACATATCTGCCCTTACAGAACCAACAAATTTGGAGAGTATTATCTTCTTCTCTTGCCTGGGTCCTATGTAATAAATGTAAGTATACAACCCTTACTGTTATTACTAAAGCATTTCAGAAATTGTAGTACTTGCCTAGAAAGAATCTGAAATAAGATTGGGAAGTCCCAAAAGTAGATACATCAGGACAGAAGGAAAGGACATCTTCAGCCTTGCATTTGGCAGGGAATGGGAGAGGTGGGAATAATAGGAACATACAAAACAAATCATGTTTTTTTCCCAACTGACAGTATTTTAAATAGAAGCCAAAACCTATTGCGATATGTTCTATGATAAAAGATGGAATGAACCTTATTAGTAGTAAGAATAATTAAACAATGTAGCCAAAGTACTTTCAAGTTTCATGGAATACCATTTCAATGCCCATTTCATGAAACATAATTTGTGCTATTAAAAAATGGATTGGTGGGGGCGGCCTGGGTGACTCAGTGGGTTAAAGCTTCTGCCTTCGGCTCAGGTCATGATCCCAGAATCCTGGGATCAAGCCCCGAGTCAGGCTCTCTGCTCAGCAGGGAGCCTGCTTCCCCCCATCCCTCTGCCTGCCTCTGCCTACTTGTGATCTCTGTCAAATAAATAAATAAAATCTTTAAAAAAAAATGGATTGAGACACAAGTTCCCTAAAATTCATGATTTAAAAAATTTGATCCATAAATTTTACCTCTATATAAAGCAAGTGACAGACCTATTTTCCAGCCCTTTCATAAGCAAATGGTGGTGAGTTCTAATCAATGCAAGTAAAGTTCCAGGTTTAGTTCTATGAAGATGTTTGAGTCATTTATTCATAGAGGGAGGCTGGGACTAGGTTGAGCCCAAATTAGATGTATGTGAATGCACTAAATGAATAAGTACCTGATTTAGTTGGCCAGATTGTGCCTCTTCCACCTTGATATGACTTTCTCTAAGACTCTCAAGATTCTTCTGTTTTGCCTAGTGGATCTGTTGTGAGCTACAAGCAGTTATTCTGTGCAGAGAGGCTCCTGGGAAGAGGTGGTCATCTACTTGGTAGTAAAAACTGGTTTTGTATTTTGTTATGTCCTAAAGGTGAAGTAATGAAAGACATGTTTTGCAATTCATAAAACTGTAGGATTCAGAGCTTCTCTGTTTCACAGGTTATTCCTACAGAGCCCAGCAGTGGGGCCCATCAGCTGTTAATCCTAAGAATTTCTCCTAGAACTGGAAAGACCTCAATTCACTGTAAATTTTTGCCTAAAAAGGCTTCTCCTGTTACAGTGACATTTCCATTCCATGAAAAAAGTGTGTGTGTGTGGGGGGGTCCTTATAATGAATCTAAGTTACTTTTATGTAATCCCAAAAATAAGTCACACCTTTATAAAGTTATGAGTTGTTCATTTCCTTTTAGACTAATGTAGTACCTGTTGGCTTTAGCTGCTAGTTCTAGGACAAGGCTGGAAGGCAAGACTTTGTAAGCTGAAATGAATTACTAAAATATATACCAGTTGGTGCTTATGTAAATGATTTCCCCCATTCTTTTCCTTTTCCATATATAATAAAAGTATTTCTCAGGGGCACCTGGGTGGCCCAGTTGGTTAAGGGTCTGCCTTCAGCTCAGGTCATGATCCCAGGGTTCTGGGATTGAGCCCCCAGTCAGGCTCTCTGCTGCGTGGAGAGACTACTTTTCCCTCTCACTCCCCCAACCCCGAATGGGGGGCTTGCCCCTGCTCACTCCCTTGGTCTTTCATGCTCCCTCTCTTCCTGTCAAATACGTAAATAAAGCTGCTTTTTAAAAAGGTCTTTCTCAGTAGATATCATCTCTATTTAGTTTAGCATTTGTCCTCTTTTTCCTGATTTGTTCCACTGAAATCAATCAATCTAGCTGAAGATTCAGACTCGGGGAGAAAGCCAGGTAAAATCAAAGCCTTTCGAGGAAGCAATAAACTTGTACACTTAGATCAGCTGCAAGGAAAGTGGAATAAATTGAGAACAGAATTCCACTTATTAATAATCTCTATACCCAATCAGGATATTAAGTACAGAGTTGGAACAAAGGGTAACAGTCAAATCTTGACCTTTGCTCTCCATAAAAATGATGGGGAGAGCACCAGTCTGTGGCTTCCTTCTCCTAGCTTACATTTCCAGATAAAGGACTGGTTGCGTTATTTCACTTCGTAACTCCAGGGAACAGGCCCTGAACAGCTCATTCAGTGAGTCGACCTGAAGCTGTTCCTAGCCTGGGAGGCCTGGCAGCTGGTCATGTGTGCTTCATAAAGGCTACATTTTAGTGGTGGATGTCAGTGTTTTTAGTGTTGGCACCACGAAACATCTGCAATCACTCAGATGATTGTTTTTTTGTTTCCTCTCAGGTTACAGTCCCTGGACACAATCCATACCTCACAAAGGTGGTTATTCCAGAAAAATCCCAGAACTTCAGTGCTCTTAAAAAGGATATTTTACTTCCCTTCAGAGGACAGCTGGATTCTATCCCAGTATCAAATCCTTCATGTCCTAAGATTCCTCTGTATAGTGATTTGCCAAGCCACTCAGCCGCAACAAAGCCTGGTCTGTTCTTATTTTTAGTGACTGTCTTTCACATGTTTGTCAAATAAAGCAAAATGTGAAACCCAACCCCCATCACCACCTGGAATCAGGGATTACTCACACCAGGTTGCTGCAACTCTTTGAACTCCCTCTGTGGGACCTTGACTGAAGAAACACCATGGTCCTTCCCTAAGGAGAGAAATGGTTGTTTTCAAACTACAACAAACAATGTGTGGCGATAACAAAAGGAATGATTTAATCTTGACGAATGGAAGACACCTTTCAAGTACTGTCCACTTATACTTAATCTTGAAGTTGTCTTAGGAATTTATAAGAAAAACTTGAGAATCAAGAAAGAAGTTCCTGCAAGGAAAAAAAAAAAAGAACAAATTTTGTACACAGAGAGCCAGGTGAATATAAGCAATGAAGATGAACATCTACATGGAGTAGATGAACTATCTACAGAACCTCGCCATGAGTGCTATATGGGAAGATACAGTTAAGTGCCATATATAATTACTTCTCAGCACAGGGAGAAATGATGATAGGACTGGGACATATTTCATTTCACAAATTGCTAAGGAAATAGTGGAAAGAGGCAACCATGTCTCAGTGGCTCAAGAAAAACCATGGGCCTGATGGGATGACAAGGTTCTATCTACAGAGCCCCAAACCAACAGTTCAATTAAGTCCCTCCATTCTGCACTCAGATGCCACAGTTCTGTCATGCTGATGACCTCCAGATGTGTAATTCTAGCATCTTGCCTGAGCTTCAAACTCAAGTCCCAACTTCCCATTGTACATATCCACCTGGGTTTGACCCACAGGTACCTCACACTCAATGATGTTGAAACTGAACATATTTTTCTCCCTGGAGCTGCTCATAGTCCCCGTACTTGTCTCTGGTATCACTGAACTTGAAACCTGAGAGTCATCCTTGATATTTTCTCCTCTTCCCTCAGCCCAGAGTCAGTCAGTCACGAAAGACTGATGTGAATTATAAAATGTTGATTCTTCTCTCTCCATGGCTGGTAACATCAAGTTTAGGCCATCGTGATTCACTGGCACCATTTCAACAGTTTTACTGGTCTCTTGTGCCTCGCCTTCTCTTCAAATCTGTCTTCCACACGGCACTGGGGAAGAAGGTCTACTCAAAACAAAAAACAACAATTAACTTGCTTATAGTTTCTATACACCTAATGCACAGTTTGTGTCCTGCGTGTCAGCACCATTCTGACCCACCACCACTCCTTTCCCACTCCTTTATAACTCAGTGCAGGTGTCAACTCCTCCAGAAAGCCTTTGCTGACCATGATCCCTCCCAATCCTTTCTACTTCCTCCCAGTCAATCTGGAGACCTTTCCTCTTTGGTGCTCAAATTAAATGGGTTACCTCTGTTTTGAATTTACAAGTGTATTATGATCTACTCTCATGTGTGATTTTTCCCTAACAGAATGTGAGCTTTGAGGGTCTGTTCAATTAGTTTGAAAAATTCATTTTTCTATCTTCAGAGCCCAGTACATAGTAGAAACTGAAGGAATGAGTGAACAAAGAGTTCCATGAACCTATACCCAGTCTCTCCCAGAGACTGTGTTGGGCTTTGAGTCATTTTGTCAAACGAGATCCTATGCTTTGGCAATCTCCAGCTCAGTAACAACTGACAGAAGAGTTTTCAAGTATGTATCAACAAATAAATTCAAATATAGTGTTTTTAGTATGCTTTGCAGTTATCCTAAGGTTCATAGTAAATGTATTATGTTACCAGTTAACAACATAAGCTACTTTTATATTGAAAAACAAAATTTTTACCATTAGTACTCAACTGAAGCAACTATTCTCCACTGTCATGAGAGTTAACCTATCTTAAAATATTTTATGTAAGAATTAAGGGCGGGAAACATCAAACCAAAAAATAGCAACTCCTAATCAGACTTCAAAATGCTGTGTATTGCTCATGGAATGTGAGTTTCCTTGGTTCTTTAAACTGAATGTTCCCTAGGATCTGAAAATGAAACTCTACTGCACTTGCTATGTGATGAATGCGTGAGAACCACAAATGAATGGAAGCCACTGGGCATGTAGGAACTATTCCTGTGCCAAGCTTAATCCACATGCACAAAATCATACTTGTTTATCTAAACAGCATTTGTAGTCCTTTTATCTCTTATAAAATCTGGTAATAATTTGAATATCTGGATAATTTTTATTTAAATAAACTAATTTATTATATACTTGAAAGTATGTATTAATATTACAGAAATGATTTTGATATGCTACAATGCACACACACAGAACTCAGTTTCCCATCAAGCCTTATTTTTCAGTCAGACATTCTGAGTTCTAACTTTTCTAAGATTCCAATTTTCAAAGGAACATGAACCAAAACCTGAACTGGTTTACAAGCCTTCATGTAAATTCCTTAAGGAAATAATGTTTTTAAAATCAGAAATTCTATCAAAATCATTTAGAGACAAGTAAAACAAACTCCAAACCAAATCTAAACCAAACCTGAACTTAATACAGAGCATGTTCAGGGCACATATTTTGCAGCAAAGTGCTCAGAAGTAAACTTTGTGGTGAGGGTCTAGTATGATTGGACCTCCACTAACCAAGTGTCCAAGGGGAGAAACCACCATGCAATTCCAACTACACTCAGACCAGAGCCCCAAATCTCCCCACATGACATCTTTCCTACTATCCTCTTACCCTCTTAGACTGGAGGTTATTATGATCCTCAGGTTCTAAGTTCAGGTGCAATTCTGTTTATGGAGGAAACAACATGGTAAATGTTTATAAGAGAATGAGATGAGAAGTAGATGGAATGAGAAAAAAATTTTAATTAGAAGGCAAGGACCCTGAGTTCAAACCCACCCCACATTCAGTTTCCTTACCTGTTAAATGAAGGCCCCTGTCTGATGGATTCTGTGACTATCAAAAACTGTCGTTTAAGATGCCATATTCTGATGTCCTTTCTGGTACTTGCCCAGGAAGAGAAAGGATAATTAACACTAGGTGGCATAAATATTTTGAAGGCATTAAAGACCAGGTCTTTTGCTTCAGATACAAACAGAATTGACCTAAAAACTGAAACACTGGCTAGCTGGAATGAGCATTTTTTTTTTAAAGATTTATTTATTTATTTGAGAGAGAGACAGAGAGAGCATGAGCGAGGAGAAGGTCAGAGGGAGAAGCAGACTCCCCATGGAGCTGGGAGCCCGATACGGGACTCGATCCTGGGACTCCGGGATCATGACCTGAGCCGAAGGCAGTCGTCCAACCAACTGAGCCACCCAGGCATCCCTGGAATGAGCATTTAACAATAGCCAAGGAATCTCCTGAACTAACAGCTTTTTTTCATGTATCTAAATTATGATAAATATTCACATGAATGAATCTAAATGAAGGGAGTATTTTGGAGAAATGTTAAGTCCCCACAGGTGTCATTTTGATTTTGGTGCTCAAATATCAGATCCAGAGCAGAAATATTTTTAAAAGCCTCTTAGCATTTTTGAAAGTCTAAGAAATGTTGTGTTTTGTTCCAGAAGTGAATTTGCATTTGTAATGTTTTTAAAACTGTTAAAAGAAGTTACCTCCAGCTTTAGAAAGTAAAAATATCTGATACTGGATTGGAAATACCTTCTCCTAGGGCATCCAGAAAAAATGAGCAGAGGATACTATCTCATTGCAACAGGGTAAACTACTTATAAAGAAGTTTGCTTTTTATTCTATGGTGACAATACAGTTGTCTATTTTATGACAGATCCCTTATAACTTCCTCATGACTTCAGATGTGGGAAGGCAAGAGAAAATGATTACTGAAGAACCAAAAAAAAAAAAAAAAAAAACACCCAACAACAAAAACAAACCACATCACAATACCTAAAACAGGTTAGGGAAAGAGTTTAACTGCATTAGAGACTTTACCTTCTATCACTAATGAGCAGAGTATCTGCTCACCACAAAACATCTTATCCTGCCTTAGCATATGAACTACTCCACAGCCTTTTATAGATGTTTCACAGCTGATTTATAAGTTTTCTCAGTCACTTTTTTCTGTACTATAATTAAGAACTTGCACAAATTGTCTAAAACAAAGTTTATTGGGAAGGGACCATCACTAACTCTGAAATTAGTAAATTCAGAATATTACTTTTCTTTTTAAGATGTTACTTATTTATTTGAGAGAGAGCAAGAACATGAGCAGGGTGGAGGTGGGGAGTAAATGGAGAGGGAAAGCAGGCTCCCTGCTGAGCAGGGAGCCTGATGCAGGGCTCAATCCCAGGACCCCCAGATCATGACCTGAGCTAAAGGCAGACGCTTAACCAGCTGAGGCGTCCAGGTGACCCTCCTGATTCTTAATAAAGAATATTCACGTAAGCAATGAATATGGTTTCCTTCCATTACCATTACCTTAAAAACAAATATGCAAATGTAACAAAGTCCACATACTAGACAGAACTGATGACCACCAAATAAAGCCTGGACAAGACCAAATTTATGATCTTTTTATTAGGCAGTAATAATGCAACAACTCTTCAAAATCCAGTCACTCCAGGACAGTTATGATAAAAATACTCATCCTAAATCTAAATTTTGTACCATGGGGCAAATGATGGATGAAAAAATGTGCCTTCTGATTAAAAAAAAAAAATTGCAAACTTCAGAATGCTCATTACTGTATTAAAGTCACCAAGAAATCATGCAGAAAAGAAATGGATTTTCCAAACATACTTAAGAGAACCATTTCCTTAAATAGTTTAGCCTAGTACCATCCCTTTGAACTTATATTCCTTGATTACCAAACATATTTTGGGAAATGCTGGTATAGGGAGAAGTCTTTGTCCTAAGTAATAAATTTTGTTGATTTCAAAGTGCTTTTGAAACACAGGGCATAGTTAAAAAAAGACTTGAAATTGGAAAATTAACAGCCCCCAACCCTCATCACTGTAACCCCTGATGTCAAATTTCTGGCCAAGGACAGACAAGTTTGCCCTCTGAAACATGTAATAACGGTTTAAATGAGACATGGCTGAGTACAAAATGGCTAATTTAGAGGTAACAATTTCTAAAAAATGATGAATACCTCAACTTAGTAAATGGGAAAAAAATGTTATCTCTTTTCAAGAGAATTCATTATATATAGAAACCCCTTTGGCAGAAGTTCCCTGGAACATTTTAGCTAGACTTCAATATTTACAGTTCTTTAGAGGGTCCGTTACTCCCCACTCCCACAGAAAGCAAGATGCAATTTTAAAATGGACTTAATTTTAAAACATTAGATTAGGGGAAAGTATAGCAAATGATTTATCCAGTTTCTGGATGGCAAAATTATGTGCTTTTGTTTTTCCAACTTCATTTTTG